ATGAGAGACAGAGAGGGAGCAAGAGGAAGGGAAAATGTTCTCTAATGCTAGAAAGCAGCAGCGCTAGGCATCAGACCTCCCTCACTGGGCGGAGGCTGCAGCTAGAAGCCAGACGCCCATACCGAGCTGTGTCCTGGCTTTCCTGAACAGCAGAGGCCGCGGGTGACTGAGTTAAACAGTGCGATGCCTAGAAAAATCCTGCCAGTCCCAAGACTCTGCACAGTCTCAGGAGCCCCCCTTATTTCTGCTCACGTTCTCAGTGCTCGTGGCCAGCCCTTGTGTGGGAGACCACAACTATCCCCTGTGTATAGAGGGGGTAACCAAGAGGCTAAGTGACTTGACCAGGGTTGCATAGGGGACTGTGGCAGAGCAGGGATTTGAATGCTCCAATCAGGCATTACCTCCAGCTCTGCCAGTCCCAAAGGCAGTGAAATGCGGTGGAGTTGCTCAGCGCTTCCTCACCTTTCCTCACCTCTCCCCCATGCATATTGGGACTCCACAGTGCTGGGAGGGGTTTCCGGGCAAACTGGTGAGATCCTCACCTATGTGACTTCATCCTCGGCGCAGCTGGGCCCCTCTCGCCTGTGCCTGGGTCACCCCAACAGACACGGGGACAGTGGGAGGACGGCAGCCTGGGCAAGGACTGGGTCCACCAGTGTCATCATCACCCATCAGGCCTCCTCCAGCTGGCGGGGGCAGGGGTGAGCCGGCCCCTACCGCTGCTATCAGCACTGCGGGTATAAGGCAGCTGCCCCAGGCCTGGGCTGGAAGCCCTTTGAGTGTGGAGCATCGGCCTAAACCGCTCTCCTGGACTTAACACCCCCGTCCTGCGGCAGAGTCTGGCTCCAGGCGGGATCCCAGATTGCAGTGAAACCATGAGAAAAAAGTGACCACCACATGGTCCAGACCCCCTTTAACAAGGACGGCGGTGCCCTGCTGCAGTCTCTGCTGGACTCTGTATGCGTCCAATATCCCTAGAGGACCCTTGCTCCTCCCATTCTACTTGCCCTCTTGGCAAAGAAGCAGCGAGGCGTCGAGGAGTCTGTCCTACCCTCACCCCTAATCACGGTCTGGTCACAGCTTCTCCATTTGCCCCATGCTGCCCGCACTGGTGTGTGGTGGCCAGACCTCGGTCAGACCCTTACTGAGGGCTAAACCGCTTAGTAGCTGCTTGTTCTCCTTTGTGCAAAGGCCACAGAGGCCTTTCTTTGGGGTGCTCGTTATTGAATGCCTGCAGAAGTCCATGCTCTGGTACTGAGCTGGGTCAGATGTTGGCATTTCCCCCTGGACAGTGCTTACCAGTAATTGGTTTTAACCTACTTGAATCTGAGGAACAGCACGGAGACCTCGGGCCCAGCTCAGCCCTGCCCCAGGCTAGCGCTGTGTTTGTGGCCTGCACCCATCTACACCAGCTCTGCCTTGGCCCCTTACGCTATTCCAGTGCCCCCCACCCCTCTGGAGATCCTCACTATGGGACTGGAGCTAGGAAGCAACTCAGGTCATTTTTATTCCCTGTCCCGTCTCCCATGGCCCAAGGCCCTGGGTCCAGCTCCCATGGGAGATGCAGGAAAGGATCCCGCTGCTCCCCGTGGGACTTGGATCAGGCCCCCAGCTCCCTGCTTGGAAGCAGCAGAAGCTGACGGGTGAATATTGGTGTAACGCCTGACAAGGAGACGGCAGAGTGGGCCAAGCCCTGGAGCCGGGGCGCAGTCCCCCAGAAGGGAGACAAAGCAGGGCCAGGGCCTCTGCCCTGCTCAGACTAGCAAAGTTCGCGGTCAGCGAGCGTCTCACCTTCTGTGCCTGGAAGATCATCTTCCGCACCACCTCCTTGATGTGCGCCTGCCCGTCGATGGGCGGCTGCATGTACACGGTGGCTCTAGTGACACCCCGGTAGGCAAAGCTCTCCGGCCAGCCTAAGTCCAGCTGCGGGATGGAGCGGTCGGACCTCTGCGGCCAGTACTCCAAGGACGGCGCCATGTCCTGCTCGTCCCCCTGGCTGTTGGGGTCGCCTTCGCTGTCCCCCGGGGTGCTGCTGCGCCGTGAGATGTACTCGGAGCCTGGGTCATAGATTTCCAAGGTCTCCGTGATCCGTTTCAGCTCCAGTTCGGAGAGGAAGTCCCTGATGTTCTCCTTCTTGAGGACCTCATAGAAAGCCTCTGGCCCCCGGGAGACCAGCGCTTCCAGGGCCAGCCTCTGCTCCTCACTGTAGAAGAACTCGGGCTTGGACTCGCTGGACCTCCAGTTGACGTGGCTGTCATCCAGACACTGCACCTGGGAGAAGGCCATGGTTGTCAGCCCTCAGTGCCGGACCCGCCGGGACCCCAGAAGAGAGCTCGCCAGGTGCCGAACCCGGCACCCCGCAGTAAATGAGGAGGTAACGAATTTCTGGCCCTCGCTTCCTCTTCTCTCCCCTCCCCGATCTAAGCACAGGGCTCCAGGTGCCCCCTGCGCTCTCCTCCGGGAACGCGCTCCCCGCGCACTGTCTCCAGTCTTTTGCCGGTTGGGTTGTTTCCAGATACTGAGTCTGCTTCCCGTTTGCTCATCAGGTCTCCCTGGCCAGAGGAGCCTGGGCGTAGAGCAAAGCCGACTCTGCTCTGGGCTCCCGAGTCTTCAATCCTAGGAGCCCAGCGAGAGGCTTCAAAGAAACCCCCTGGATCTTCTGCTGCTGGATTCACGGCCCGCTCTGCCTGCCCCGTCACACGTGTGTGAATAAGGAATAAAACACAAAGCAACTGAGCTTAAAACCCCAGGAATCCGGCAGGCACCAGGGTCTTCTCCATCTGCTTCTCTCTTTTAGTCGCCTCCGCGCCGGTCGTGGGGTCAGCGGCGCAGTTTCCCCGCAGCCAGCTGCTGCCCGCCGGCCGGTCTCTCCTGGATTGCCCTGGCTGGCAGCCGGACCCTTCCTCTTTCCAGGAGGCAGGAGCAGGGCAGGTAACTAACCACCAGAAGTGTAAAGAGGAAAAGAGAGAGTGATTCATAGCTCCACCTCGCTCCACCTGCAATCACATGTTGGCTCCCAACCCGGTCTGGCCGTGCCCCAGCTGTTAACCCCTTCGGCTACGCAGCCCACACCCCTCTGTCGAAGCAGCGCAGGAAGCTGATTCACCGAGGTTGCATATGACAGACGCCCACCGCCTCCCATTCCCCGCCGACCTCGCCTTTCACAAAGCAGAGGGCCGTGTCTGGGCCTTATCACTCTCCCTTCGCTTTGCAGGTCTTGGGGAGGTTTGGACCGTTCCCAGGCCAGCACGGGCACGCGGGTGTCTGAGCAACACCTCCGATCCAGCTGCTTGCAGATGTTCCATCCGAACCAGGTGGAAAGAAATTTTCAGCTCCATGACGGTGTGTGGGGGGCTATTTCAGGCTCCCCCTGGGCCCACCGTGTTGTTGGTATTTGTCCTAACCCTTTTCCGGTTTCTGTTTTTTTGGCAATGAGTCAAAAATGTGTCACCAAACCCCCTTGTCCAAGCAGCTGCAATTGTTCCCCCTTGCTGAGCTAGCTGTAGCCGTCCCGGACGCTACGAGGGGCTGTCTGCTCACTGACCTCTTGGGTTAACTTCTGGAGCTGGGGCTGTCCCAGTTTCTCACCCTCTTCTGCAGACCGGCTTCTTGGAGGGTCACGCGCTTGTGTGGCAAGAAGTCTCTGCAGCAGAGCAAGTTATATCAACAGTTGGGAGGAGGAAAGAAAAACAGCTAGGATTTGTTAAGGCTCTCAGACTGTGTGCGTCTAATGCAACCCCCTCTCCGAAGCGGCCTCCTGTGAGCTCGGCCAGCCCGCTGGGTTTTTTAGGCAGTGATTGCACTGAAGTCCTGACGCTGAGACAGTCCCACTGGCGCGCGTAGGGCTCGTCGGGATTAACAGTGGTGTGGAGAGCAGAACTGGACTTGTGCTAGGACGAGGGCCTCTCTGCACCGGTGACCCCATAGCTGCCACGACACTAGTTTTGGGAGTGAGACATTGCACTGTTCCTCGTCCATCGCTCCTGTGGGCTTCGATGGCGGCAAAGAGTGGGGTTAGTGGCACAGGCGTGTGCCTAGGCTGGGT